TTCTATTTCGTTTGTAAACTGTTCAGACTGATACCAGCATCCATCTCATAATTTATATATAGAATATGTCGCGTATGTAACTTAAGAACTATTGTTGTCTGTAGAATATTAAAATATCATTTTCTTGTTGTGTATCAACTTTCCTTATGGAAAAAAAACACTAAAAATTGGATGTTAATACTCAAAGTTGAGTGTTAACACCTAATTTTCAGTGTTTTTTCAAAATTTTCAGTGTTTTTTCCATAAGGGTTACTCATATTTGTATGGAGAAAAAAATAGACGATTGCACTTATTTACGAAAATTTGTATTTTGTGATGTACGAGCGAAACCGGGCGTGTTTTAAGAGATGCCAGCCTCAAGGAAAAGCTCAGAAGATCTCGTTTCTGAAGGTGGATAAGATCAACCTTCATTTACGAATGGTTTGCGAGGGTAGTTTCCGTGCCTGAGATAACGCTCCTTCTTCCTTTTCCTGACAAAACCTTCCCGCGCGTCCGTCTGTATAAGTATGTATAGCGCGCGCACACGTGCATGGCTTTAAAGTGCGCCAGACTACCGCAAATCGACCACCGAATTTCCTCATTCAAGGAAATCGAAGGAACGAGGTAATGTAACGCGGGGAGTCATTTTGCATCACCGTTTTCGCGAAAATCAGCATTTCACGGGAATTTTCATTCAGTGAACATTTTTATCCCAAAGTAACTATATATTTTTCGTACATATAAGGTACATACTGTTATCCATAAATTTTTGTCTATATATTCTTAAATTGATAACTTACATGAGACAACATGAAATTTTAGTTGTTTAGAGAGAGAGAGAGGATGAAGTTTCACATAAAACATTATATATTAAATGGATAAAATCATTTTTGTGTTATTTCTTTTCAGACTAAACTGAAACAGTCGCGTAATTCTAAAAATACACTTGCTGTAAAATAATAAATTACATAAAATGGACTTGAAGAAACAGCTTTGTGCGAAATGCGAAATACGTGCCAAAACTCTTTTTAGATTTTTCGTATTTCTGCAACATGCTATCCCAATCAGTCGCACGTCGTGTACGATTTTGCGCGACAACACGCGAAAATAAAAATTCGCGTGATAATGCAAATAAAAGGCATTGTCATCGTTATTGCGAGCATTTCATCTCCATTAACGATGACACATTTCTGGCGTTTACACGAGCGAGCGACGTGGAAACGATAGAAAGAAAGTAGGTCTCTAGAGATGTCGCCATTGAAACTGTTGTGTTTTCACTGAAGAGAAGAAATATAACGAGGAGATTTATAACGACAATACTGTGTCACACCGAAAGCATGCCAAAAAAATCACGCTAAAGAAAATCCTCTCAAATTTCTGCTAAACTTTTTACAATGCTTGTGACATCTCGAATCGCACTTATCATTGCAAACGAGATCGTCCGAACTTTTTCCTTTCTCCCGTCCTTTTTTTGGATATTCCAAGAGGTATGGGACGGAATTCAGACAATTCTTTAAAAAAATCAAGCTTTCAAGAAATAAAAAAGCACTTAAAAAAAAGTGTCGAGACGAACTGTTTATATACGGGTGATAGTAAAATGATTATAACTATAAAAAGGAGTCTGAGTGGATTGAGCTCGAAGAGTGAAAGAGTTTCTTTTTCATGTGACAGCATCCCTCAATCACTTCTTGCTCCTCCGCGGACTTCCTCTCGCCTTTACGCTATCGTTTCTCGTCCGATGCTATCGTTGTAGTTCTTACGACAGTACTTTTTCTTAAGCAAATGTCCGCGAATTTTTCTCCTCTGGGAAAGACTTTACATCCTTTTCTATATGTGTACATGGTTGAAACGTATCCCTTTTAAATCATTGTTCAAATATTTTAAAAGCGTCTCGTATACTTTAGAATATCCTTCCAAGACTGTTTATCCTACGAAGATAAGTCTGAAACGAACGAATCGTTTTAATCAAATTGCTGAGAATCTAAATCTAAAACTAAGGAGAGATAAATTGACCGTGTGCGCAAGATCGTTTTAATCACAGCCAACGGCGGTTTAAATCCGATCGCTGTTTCCGCACGCAAATTGCTGCCTTTTCTCAACGATACGTCGCTCTTCGTAATCCTCTCGTCTTCGGAACGCACGAGAAGCACGAAAAGCACGAAGGGACCCGGCGAACAACAATCGCTGCAATGTATAACACCGATTTTCCGTGCTTAACTTCGTACGTCTCTTGACTCACGGACAGAGGGAAAATCCAAGCTGGCTCGACCCGGGTAGTATTATATACCGGTGGGTTTACATAGGTCGTACCACCTGGTAGATACATCGCTGCTCGTCGTTTACCCGAGCAGGGTAGAAAAGACAGAGAGTGAGAGAGAGAGAGAGAGAGAGAGAGAGGAGGTGACTCGCGGATAGGAGAGAGGAGGTGGTTGCGATAGTAGCAGGTCGCGGTTAGGAAGACGAAGGCAGAGGACGAAAAGGGCGGCGGTGGGTATCAGAGAAGAGAAGTGGGAGGAGGATGGCAAAAAAGAGCCACGGTAGGGGATAGTGGTGGCGGGCGGCGAGTGGGGTTGAAGCGGCGGTAGCTGAAGGAGGGAATGACCCCGCGTACCCGGGGTCAACCGTTGCACTATGCTCTCCGTGTCTCATAGTCATGAACGAGCCTCGTTCGCTCGCACGCTCTGATATATACACGGGTTAGATGTGTCGTGTTTATGCATAGGCTTGGAAGAAGCCACCTGAGTACACCTGAGTCAGGTGGTTGTTCTTACTCACGACAGCCTTACTGTCGTGTCATATATACTGCGTAGGTATATTGCGTATTGCCGTCGACACGATATTTATGAATACACGCGGGATGAGGTTGGCGAGACGGCGACGCCGAGCATTATTTCTCGTTATTGTCAAACGATATATCTCTGGGTCCTCCACCTCTCTCGAATAGCTTTCTCGCCTAGACGACGTCAGTTATCTCACCCGACATTCGCCTATGCGAAATACATGGGAGAAAGTAGAAACTCGAGAGAGGAGATATTTTCATCTAGATTCACACGTGAACAATGCATGTTAAAGGCCGTGGCATGTAACACCAGGAAAGATACGTCGTAAAATAACGCAATACTATTTTGCCTGTCGAGTTTTAAACCCGCTGGAAAAAATATAGCGAACGAGAGAAAATTTGAGAGTGTATGTAACAACGTTCCATTTAACGAAGTATCGAAATATCGATATTCTTTAAAACGCGGTTATTAATAATTAGATACACAACAAAGTCCTATACTAACATTGGTTGACGTTGTTAATCGTTTAATCTCAGATATAACGAATCACGTAGAGCGTACATCGAAATTATGAGCCATTCGCGAAGCACTAGACATTAATAATTTCAATGTGCAGCTATTTCTCCGGACTTTCATAAGATGCACGAGAACGCTGCACATAAAAATGCACAAAAATTGTATATGTATCTTCTCCCCAGCGGGATTCTTTCGCGAGCACTAGATTATTTCGCAACGTCAAGTCAAGTCAGATTTCAGTATCGCGCGCTCAACTGCTTGCGGAACAGTGAGCTTCCGCTTTCGAAATCGCTTTATGCGCGATATTTCTTGGCCGGCCGCGCCTATGTTTTCCACCTAGCACAGTAGATATCCGTGACGGTATTAAGTTATGATGGATATATAACCGTCCTGCATCCATCATAAAATCAAGTTACAGTTACGTGCTATCGCATGACGTTTCGATATCGATTCTACGTACGTAGGTCCGTATTCGGCGACGTGTATGTATGTATGTATGTGTATCCGCGAGAAGCAAGACGCTGTATAAATCACGTTTCTAAGTCGATAATCGAGCACGATACATGCGAGACAATGAGAACGAGAGATGTGCGATAACGGTAAAGGCAGCCGATCGATTTGCGTATCGCGCAACAGTATCACGTCGTTGCGCTAGATTATAATCCAACCGCAGCATTGTAATTTCTCTACGGTATCGCTGAAAATGAAGTGCATCACACAGTTGTACAAGTTGCATCACCTCGCCCGTTGAGAATAGCCACAGCGAGAAACGCAAACAAGAACTTTTTCGCGATACTTAATGCCCATCATCAACGACATGCCATCACGAGTCGCGTCTCCAATTAACGCGATTAGCGATTTCATTAGCACTAATTACATCACGCGTCGCGCTTAACTCGCCCTCTCTCGCGTGTCCGCCCCGTGACGAAACAATGATTGATACCACGCGGTAGTTTCCAGAGTTTTTTTTGCTGTTCTTTTTTTTTCTCCTCGCAACACGCAAATCCGGGAAAGTCCGGAAAATCCTCTTTGAACTTTTCCAACAGGAAGGAGTTTTTATCTCCGACGAAAACCTCATGAAGAAGTCGAAACTATTGAAACTATTTTCACCCAGCCATCTGCTTTTTGCACGAGAATTTAATAGCGTTGTATCGCACGTTTCGCCATTTCGAAATGCGGAGCTTTTAACAAATTTCGATGTGATTTTCAATCGCGTCTACATTTCCACATACAAATTTAATGAGATTAGTTCAATCTTTTCTTTTCTATTAAATAGAAACTCGCGTAATACTCGAACAACGCAGATTATTTCAGCAATAATACAGCAATATTTTTCCTTTTCTCTAAATAATTATCTCAAGTACCCATACAGCACAAAATCTTGCAGCAACAATACTGCAAGATTCTGTTTGTATGAATACTCGAAATAATTATTTTAAAAACAAAAGGAAAAATATTAAAAAGAAGTTTTGTTTTAAAAGGAGTTTAATTTTAAAAAGGAAATTTGTAACTATCTATTATAAATCTAAAAATCACTGTGATAAATTTAGATCTTTCAAAGAATTTGAAAGCTTGAAAGAATTTAACGAGATTCAGGCCGCTTCGTTACAGTACAATCCCAAATCTACCGGCAGATGTTTCACTAATTAAATCCGATAATATCTCGTCGGAAGTGTAATAAATCACAAATCTTGGCGGAAAATTGAAAATGAGAGAAACGCTTACCCGTTACGCTGAGCAGCGACATGTTCGGAGGATCCCCCTTCGCTCGGCTCAATCTTTCGAGTTGTCTCTAACTAATCAACCGAGCGGTGCACTCAATTCGTGTAGAGATCCGTATGAAAGTTATACGCTGCTTTACGATGAAACACGCCGGTTCGTGTAGATACACTGTCTCGTATACGATACGCAGGCTAGTATCCTCTGCACGCCTGCACTAATAATCCTCTTTTCTCTCTTTTTCTTTCTCTCCCCTTCCCCCTCTCCCTCCCTCCCTCCCCCCCTCTCTCTCTCTCTGTCTCTCTTTGTCTTATTCTCTCTCTCTGTCTTTCGTTCTTTTTATCTCCCTGCTCTTTGCTCACTATGCGTCTCTATCACATACAATGTACAAACGCGAAATAAGTGTCGCACACGTATATAGATATATATGTGTCTGTATGAGTACGTTACGTGTGAAATCCGTGTTTATAGTCGCGGCGTACACGGCTGTTTACCCGCGAAAGCTTAAAAGTACAGAAAGTACGAGGTAAGTACGAGCACCTCGAATGCGCTTTTCTTTTTATTATCTTTTTTTACTTCTTAACAGAGTTTATAACAGTTCGTCACAGGTTGGCCGCCGCGGCGAAGCGTCCATCCTTGTCGCGATACACCGGCTTATCTGGATCGACGATACCTGGCTCCTTCTCCCCGTCGCTCCTATACCCTGGTCCATCCCCTCCCACCCTTCCCCTCCCGGTGTGTGTACACTGGCCGATGACCGTGCATGACACGACTTCCTATGCGCTCGCCTGTAACACTGTTTTCTCTGTATACCGGCGCGCGATGACGATCGATCGGCGCCGGAGAATGACTTTTGTATACGCGTTATTATCAACGATTGACTCGCTCTGTCGGTTGACTCTCGGTCTCGTTATACTGCGATACGAGAAGCCGGCTCGCGGATTAACGTTCGCACGCCGCCTCGCTAATCATCGTTACACTCCCTCCGTCGCGCATATCGTCATTTATGGCTAGTAATAACAAGGCTCTTGGTCACGCGCAATAACGTAGAAGTCCGTTCCGGCGGTTGAGAAGACGAAGATCGTCACTGCTCGTTGCCGTGCTGTTGTCCGTGCCCGCGTCTTCCCGATGCTCGAAAAGTTGTGCTGATATCAAATCGTCCCCGCGGTCGTCGTCGTCGGCGGCGAGTAATAAGGCTACGATGCTAATAATAGCGAAACGCTGGCAATAATAGTAGTACGGCAGCACCGTTACGATTTCTGCGTAGCTATCGCTGATCCATTGCGGCTCGATGATGTTGCTGTTGTCGTTCCCGTGTACCACGCGACGGCCGCAATTGCGAGACATCGCCGAGACAGCGTCGCTATGTAGGTCCGTCGTTGATCGCCGTTTTCCACCGACGTTGTGATAAGTTCGATCAAGCGTTTCTCGCTTCTGGAGAAGCGGCCACCGTGCCACCGTCGTCGTCGTTGTCGTCGCCGCCGCCGCCGTCACCGTGCTTCTCGTTATTATCATAGTAGCGGGGGATGTTCCGAGTCGCCGTCGCGCGTCTCTCGTGCTCGTCAGGGGAACGTGCACCACCAACGACGCCAGACACGTCGTCGCCGTCGTTCCGAGGCGCGACCGGTCACGCGCATTTCACTACGGTGCCGTGAAAGAGCGCCGGGCACGTAAGACAGACAGACAGAGAGAGAGAGAGAGACAAAGAGAGACAAAGAGAGTCAGAAGAGAGACAGGAGAGAGAACGGAGAGAAAACAGAGGAACGTGGAGTGGAAAAAAAAATGGAAAGAAAACGGAGGGAGCCGCGCGTTCTCCGGGATCGAATTCGGAGCGATGGATGGGTAAAGAGAGAAAGAGAGAGAGGAGGAAGGAGGAGA